TAAGTGAATTAATTTGATTCTGAAATAAATAAATAATCGAAGAATTGCACAATACTTAGCCTTAGGATATAGACGAAACAACAGAAGCAACAATTCCGGGAATAGGGTTTCCGGGCACAACAACTAAGAAAATCAAGAAATAAGAAGATAAGATTAGATTGAGCTTTGTATAGAGTATATCATAAGTTTTCCAGAAAATTCGTGTCCTTTACAATGACAACAGAGCTCACTATTTATAGCTATGAAAAAGGTCCTAGGGTCGTACCCTTATTTAATGTCAATTATGAGGGGCATTGATGAAGATATAACGGTGAACATAAATACCAAATTCCTGGTAATGGGTAACTACTCGTAATGCCATGGAATATTCTCTGTTAAATGCTACCGGAAAAATAGCATTTATCACATCTTTATGAGCGTTATTCTTTTCGATGACAAACGAAATAGTTGCCTTCGGTCTTTAGCCATCCCCTATCTTGGATTCCACATGTCACTTTCTTGGACGGCCACGTGTCATATGCATAATCGATACAACGTTGGCATAATATAAAAACAATAAGAGTACATGAATAACATTGAAGTTCAGATTGTTTCACCAGATTAAAGAAAGTTTGATCTAATTTTGAATGTTTTCAAATAGAGGGTTATTACATCTTTTTGTTCCATTTTGAAAACCAATTTACATAAAAAATAGTGTTTAAAGGAGAAATGTATTTTGGACAGAGAGAAAATGATACATACACATAGACTAAATATTGGAGAAGGAAATTAGGAGAAAATTTCTTTGGATTTTCTTTTGTTTCAACGAATTTGCAATGTTGAATTGTGTGATCAATTTGCCAAAATTTTAAGCACCTTTATTTCAACACTGCTCACATACGGACTTGTTTTTTTTTTTTTTTACCAGTCAAACACATAAAAATTCTTTTTGACAATGGCTCCATGAAAATTCAACTCAACACCTTTGCTTACTTTAATACTTTATTGAATTGTGTAACCAATTTATCTTGAAGTTTAAGTTAGTTAATTTCACCGATTATCACTAAGTTTACTCGGTGTAACACTAAAGTCACAAATTATTTTTTGTAACAGTAAAATCACTATTAGTAACACTAGTCACAAAACTAGTTTTTTTTTGTAACAGTAAGTCTTTAAACTAACCATTTGTAATACTAAAGTTACAAAACTATTTTTTTCATAGTAAGTGACAAAATTGTGTGTTAGTTGCCCAGAAAATACAAATCACTAGAAAGTCAAATTTTCAGCGCCGGAAAATAACATGTCATTGCCACATCATCATCACTTTGCCACAGCTTACATGCCACATGAGAAACTTTTTATTAAAAAAATCCACGTTGTCATAACTTATTTTTTAAACATGAACAATTAACAAAATATTTAAAGTAAAAGAGATAAAACGAGAGCTGAGTAACACATTTGTTTATTTCAGTAACAGTGTGTATATAATCTTTCTTTTCTGTAAGTGGGAAGCGGGTATAATCCATTAACATACCTACTTATCACAAAATCCATCAAATAAACTACTTATATAATACCATGTTGTACTCCCTCCGTCCCAAAAAAGATACCAATACTTTTCAGATTTCCAGAGTTAAATTAGTTATTATTTGACCACGTCTTTTTTATATAAGTTTTAAATATTTTTAATTATTGTGACTTATAGTACTTTTTATGTTATTTCGAATATATAAATTTTACTTTTACAAAACTAAATATTTTATGTTTAAATTTGCAGTCAATATTAAGAAGTTTGACTCTCGAACCGAAAAGTATTATCTTTTTGAAACGGAAACAATATTATTTATTTAAACAGCTCTAATACTGCATATGGTGGCAAAGAAACAATGGTGGAAGGCTTTATTTAATGAATAATTAGTTTTGCTCTTAAATTGTTTGATGAAAAACGCCAAAAAGATATCTGCTTTTATATCTCTGATTCATGGTTTTTCCACCCCGTGAAAGCTGTTTGTAGATAATTCCAAAGAGTCAAGAGAGATAATAAAAGAAGTTGTCTACCAAAAATTCACAAAAAAGTAACCAATTCTTGTCTTTTTTCTCAATTTCATAATCTTAACAATGTATCTAATCAATAGGTTCCTAACTTCATTAGAATCTAAATCATTCCAATACTTTGTCCCCATTCTTTCTAAATAGTATTGCAATTACACTAATTGAAGGTCTCATTTATGATATAAAAATATCTTTAACCAATGCATAGATGATATGAACACGTACGTCAGCGGCTGAGCAGGAGCCAGTACTCCAGGTCGGAGCTGGAAGAGACATGAGGAGTCGGGTAGAGGTGGAACTCAGGCCAGAGCATGTAAGGTAGCACTCACGAGAGACTGGGCACCCACAATTTTTCGTGCTCGCGCTAGAGCCGTTTCTTAGGAGCCACCTATAATTATTTTACAATGTTCAATTGACCACCACCTATCTAACCGCCGTTGGTATAACTTTAATATTTCTGAAATAGAATTTTTCTAAGATTTTGTTTATTAATGGTTTTTCACTTTAATACCAATCAATAATCATCTAATTTTTGCTATTTGAAGTATAATAGTGCTAAAACATAAAATCATCTACAAAAGATTATAGCTCTTTTCTTAAGCACACTATTTCTAATTTAATACCAACAATGAATATTAGGTACTTCATCCTTTACCACCTATTAAGTCATTTTATTTTCCTAACTCCAATTTTCCAATTTTTTTTTGTTCTTTTCTAATCATCAATTAGCATTTGCATTTCTCCTTTTGTGTATCATGCTGAGGCATCTAACTTTTTTATTTATTCAGACTGTCTTTTGAAAAGGGAAAAATGGACAAAAAGCACCAGACATTAAATGACTAAAGAAAAATTAACGGAAATAATCACTCACCCAACCGCTTAAACTAAAAATAGCCGATGAGAGTATAATATATGTATAATTGTGTATAATCAATGTAAAAACTATGTATATAATTAAATAATAATAATAAATATAGCCGGCTATTTGTGTAAAGATCCCATGACTAAATTGGTTGGATCTGAAGCTCAAAATGAAGCCAAAGTTTGGATTACTACCGGAAATGAGTCTGACATATGAATAATGTGTTTAATTTTTATGTGCATTAATAATGTAATTTTTTACACTATTAAGTCATAAAAATAATTAGAAAATTAGCATTAACCTAAAAAATAAAGCAAACTAATAATTTATAATAAGTTAAATTATACCAATGGCGTAAAATTTTTATCACTCTGTCAATGTATATAATTTAACTCTGTAATAATCATCCCAAGTTCAAAAGCTAATCCCATTCAAATTTGCCTTAAACTTGCAGGCTTAGTCAGTAGCAAAGCAAAAATTTAAAATTTTATTGGGGGTTCAATATTTACTATATATATGCATAAAAAAATTTGACTATATATACAATGTAATTTTTTTTTAATAAAAGTTCATTTAAACCCCCTTCCACCTCTCTAGCCAGAGGCGGGACTATGCTATAGAAAGAGGCCACTGGCATCCGAAAAATTCGATAAATTTTTTCATGTATACATGTATATGCCTTTAAAACTAGTGATAAATTACTTGTAACACTTTATATACAAAACGCATTTTCTTTGAATTTAAAAGTGAATTCGTGACCTTCAAATCATAGGTCCGCCTCTGTCTCGGCCCCAGACCTAACAGCAATATATGTAAAAGGTTTATACTGTTTGGACTGACTATGCAGCAGTCCTTAAATCTGGCATTTTAGTGCATAGTGGCTTTTAATTATGAAAGCTAATTACTTTTTGTTAAATAGTAAATACTAAATAAAGTACAAAATCCCAACTAATGTTAGTTACTGAATCATTTTTCTTATGCGAATAAGAATATATTCACTTTCAAACAGGAACAGAAAGAACACTCACGGGAGCTAACAAACAACAAAAAAACAACCTCAACAAAGTGCAAAAGCAAATATTTTTAGGAAAACAATATAAGTTTTAATTAAACTAAAAAGTGCATTCCTATGAAGCTGTCTTTGTGGCCTAAATTCTTTCTTGTGAACACTCCTACCCCCCACCCCCACCCCCAAATGCCAACTTTTTTTGCATTCATTTCAGTGGAAGCACCCGTGACCCTCTCAATCCTATGTCATGATTCTCCAGTTTGTACCACTTTCTACCTAAAAGATGACTCATTATTTCGTGCACCCTGCACTTAAGATTAAGAGTGTGACCTAATAGTCAATAAAATAAAAAATTAAGAAAAATTGCAGTTCCAATTTTAGTAGACAAAAAATGTTATGTGATTTTTCTAGTGACAACAAAAATAGTGGCTGATTTCTTCTAATTTATTCAAATCTTAGTGTATAGAATTATTCGGTGCATATGTTGGTAGAAGGTAGCAGCTAACTCTTAAAATTAGTTGAAGTGAACACAAACTGGTCTAAACACCATTGTTTTCAAAAGAAAAATATTAGGTGATTTTTTTTCCATATGTTTAAATTTTGGTGGATAAAAATACTCGGTAATCATGGTTCAAATCACATTAGAGACAAAATATGTTAGATACTTTTTTTTCATCTGTCTAAATCTTTGTGAACAGAATTATCCGATATCTACACTAGTAAAAATAATATATATATATATATGTAAAAGAGCAATCAGACGCATGCAAGCTAAACTGAACACTAGTATGATAAAGAAGGAGAAAAAGAGAGGAAGAAACGAGTTAGGTAAATATTGTATTAAATCTTTTTATTTGCTTAAATTTTGCTTGACAAAGTTACTCGATATATGTGTTAATAAAAAATAACATACATAAGAAAATATAGTCAAGATGCATGAAAGCTTATTCGAACCTATTGCTAAAAATAAGAAAGAAGGAGATGACTCATTGCTTTTAATACCGCTTGAACTTTTCAACCCAACCCCAAAACCACAGAGACATATACATGTAATTATGTATATATAGCCAACTTGCAATGCATTTCAACATCTCTCTTTATAAGTTCTTGACACTTTTTGTTTTTTCTCCTTTTTATTCTCATTTGATAGTACTACTACTCCAATAAAAATGCCAAATTTTAGACCATTTCTTCACTTTACTATTCTCATTCTTCTCATCAACTCTGGCCTAACTCTTTGCCACACCAAAGGGCTTAGGCCAAAGAGAAATGCCAAAGGAAAACAACTAACAGTGAATATGACACAAGTTCAACAATCAGAACAACAATTCATGAAATGGGTTCAATTTGTTGGAAGCCTAAAACATTCCCTTTTCAAAACAGCCAAAAATAAAATCTTCCCTTCTTTCACTCTTACTGTTGATAAAAATCCTTCTCATGGAGATTTTACTTCAATTCAAGATGCCATTGATTCTCTCCCATTTGTCAATCTTATCAGAGTTGTTATCAAAATCCATGCAGGAGTTTACACGTAAGTCGCATTAATTTTTATCGATCGTAACGGTGTTCAAGTCAGTTTGAGCGTACCTCAACTTTTCTACTGGATAGTTACGTTGTAGCCTAGATGCGCGAAAGCTTACACTCCTGTTTTTTCAATTTTTATAATTTGAGTATTTCCGCTTTCTTTGGATGAGTGATTGTCATTGAACGTGCGCGTACTTCAACTATTCTACTGGATAGTCGTAGTCGAGATGTGCGAAAGCCGACGCTACTGTTTTTTCAAATTATAAAATTAAATATTACCCCTTTCTTTGGATGAGTGATTGTCATTGAACGTGTTTAAGTCAGTTTACGCGTACTTCAACTACCCTACTAGATAGTTGTAGTGCGCGAAAACTACTCTACTAGATAGTTGTAGTGCGCGAAAACTGACACTCCTATTTTTTCAATTTATAAAATTGAATATTTCCCTTTTCTTTAGATGAGTGATTGTCATTGAACATCTACATTCTACATTTTGTTATTTTTATTGAAATTTTACTTTTTGAATAGCTCAATTTGATGAAGACATATGTACTAACTTTTAACCATCTATTTCATAATTTATTGAATTTAAGTTTTTCTCCTTAAAAAGTGTTTGTCTTGGTGTAGTATCATGTGTGTGACTCTCCTTTTCTTTGTTCATTCATCTGTCTTTTCTTAGTCTTCACATGCTGTAATGTTTTGCAGTTGTAGTCAATTGTCAATTCTTGGAATTGTGATGAAAAGAATTTCCTTTTTGTTTTCTGTCCTTTGCTTTTGTCGTTTACAGTCTTGTGATCAGATAGAAAATGTTAAAAGCATATGAGTAATTTAAAGTTCTGTTCTTTTCAATTGGGACTATGAAAATGCCAAGTGGTTTATACATTATCTTTTATTTTGTTTCACATATTTGTTCAAGATTGAAGGGAGTTTCAGTGCAATTTTAAAAGTTGCCGCCGTATAATCAGAAAGGTTACGGGTTCAAATTGCAAAACTAATCATTTGCAAGATTAGACTGCATACATATGAGCCAATGTGATTCAATCCTTCTTTAGACCTACGCGTAAAGGGTCGCCATATAATCAGAAAGGTGACGGGTTCAAATTGCAAAAATAGTCTTTTGCAGAAATGCAAGATTAGACTGCATACATATAATTCAATGTGATTCGAACCTTCTTTAGACATTGTGCATAACGGGAATTTAGTGCACTGAGTTACCTTTTATTTATATTTGTTCAAGATAATGTCTTCAACTCTAAAGTTTTATTTCAATTTTTAACTGAAAATATGAATTATTTTGCAGGGAGAAAGTAAATATACCACCATTTAAATCATTTATAACAATAGAAGGAGCAGGAGCAGATAAAACAATAATTCAGTGGGGAGATACAGCACAAACTCCTGGACCAAATGGAAAACCCCTCGGCACTTTTGGTTCTGCAACTTTTGCTGTGAATTCCCCTTATTTCCAGGCCAAGAATATTACTTTCAAGGTACAGAATTCTTTTTTTGCTTTTTTCACTTGGTTAGTTGCTTTTTAAGAAATACAAAATTGGAATCCAACAAATCAAAACTGTTATAATTTATTTAAGGCCTGAAAAAAGTATCATGATTATGTGTGAGTCTAATTCCTTTTGTTAAATCAGTGAATTTTAACATGTAATAGTAGGTCAATAATGATTGTATCAGGACTAATTAATGTTTATCTTGGAGATTTACCTCAAATTACCTTATAAATAACCTAATTGTGTAAATATTTTTACACAGTTAGTAAATAGAACTTAAACTCGTTTGTTAATTGAGCGATGGCCTCAGCTGGGATACTATGTTAAAATGGATTAACGATCTAATTTAGAGGTTTAAATGTGTGCTCTTAAACATGTCATGATATTTCTGTGGCTATAAAATCATGCATTAAAGGTAAAATGAGAAGTTTAAAGTTAAATTATTTTAAAACATAGAAAAATATATTATTGAAGGAGAACCTTGGTGTAACTGGTAATTAAAATTGTTGTCATGTGACCAGGAGGTTATGGGTTCGAGCTGTGAAACAGCCTCTTGCAGAAATGCAGGGTAAGACTGCCTACAATAGACCTTTGTGGTCCGGTCCGTCACCAGACCCAGCACATAGCGGGAGCTTAGTGCACCGGGTTGCCCTTTATTTTATTTTATTTTATAGAAAGGTATATTATTCTTTTTAAAACAAACCAAAAAAGAAAAATATGGCACATACACTGGACAAAGTTGCAACAAAATATTGTTACCTTTTTTTTTTTGTTTGTCAAATGTTGTCTATATTAGAAATTCTTGGTTTTCACTTTAATTTCCGAAAGCTAAAAAGAATAATGATAATAATTATAAAATGCAGAATACAACACCAGTGCCAGCAGCAGGAGCAATTGGAAAACAAGCAGTAGCATTTAGAATATCAGCAGATACAGCAGCTTTTGTTGGTTGTAAATTCTTGGGAGCTCAAGATACACTCTATGATCATTTGGGTAGACATTATTACAAAGATTGTTATATTGAAGGTTCTGTGGATTTCATCTTTGGCAATGGTCTTTCTTTCTTTGAGGTAATTGATTACTTCTCTTCCATTTTTTTCAATAGAGCAGAGTGTAAAAAATGTTGATATTCATTTTAATTCCATGTTGGTTTGATCATCTAAAATCTTAATCACTCAATTCTTGAAAGGATTTAAGTTATGCACACCGTTACCATCGGGTTTTATCTTTACATGTTTTAGCAACATGCTGAATTAGAGTGTGAGGCTCAGGTTCGATCGAACCCAGTAACTCTGGCCCAAATCCAATACTTAATTTAATCAACATGCGATGCTGCAAAGCTGAAGACACAAGATCTAGTTAAAATTATAGTATAAAGAGAAAAAACATTAGAAGCTCAAATAATGCTAGAGATAATGTTGTCAGATTGCACATAAGAGAAATGTTAAAAAAAAGTTTGTGTTCTGTGAGCTAACAGTGTAATCTTTTTTAAGGATTATTAGGTTAAGTTGATTTACAAATAGTTGGGTCGTTGTTCTTATAAATTAACCCCCAAACAGATTTTTGTAAACCAAAATTTCCGTGAAAAGATTACCAGATTCTGTTTTTATCTCTATCAAACTATATTTGCAGAATCGATTTTTTTAAATGTCTGTCACATCTATCCTGTATTTGTATATCTAGGGGATTAGTTGTCTCCTCTGTAATGATTTTTTCTGTAAATAGAACCATGAAAAACTTGGAATAATAGACCACTCAAGTCTAATATGGAAACCTTAAAAAAATAGCGTAATAACTTTATAATCGATTAAATTACACTACTAATATAAAAAATAATTTACACTTAAACTCAATGTTATCTGACGGCGGACCTACATTGAACCTTATGGGGGCTTGAGCACCCATTATATTTTACTCAAACATTATATTTTTATGTTGGAAGCTAGTAATAATATACAAAGATATCGACTGGGCATCCAATCTCAGAAAGTAGATTTGTCTATATAATAATTGGAATATTATTTGTGTATTTGTCTATATAATTTGAAAAGACAAATAACTCGAATCGAAACTAAAGTTGATCAAACCGATTAGATGTAACCATGGGCGGATCCAGCAGATGAATTATGGGTTCCCGTGAACCCAATAGATTTTGTCAAGATCCTGTATTCATATTGAAAAATACATTAAATGTATAAGAATATTTAGCTTGGAACTCATACTGTTAATCCAGTAATTAGGAGTATATATTAACTTGGGATTTCTTTAGGAACCCATAAACTTAAAATTGTGGATCCGCCTCTGGATGTAACTCTATTTGAATCGTGTAAATAGCAACACGACTACTTTCAAAATAGTAGGGAACCTCCAAATTCTAGATTCGTCTCTGCCCACGACTTAAACATCCTGAGTCTGTCAGTCAGAGGCGAACCCAAGATTTGAGAGTGGCGGGGGCACATAAGCCAACTACTCAACCAGTGTCCCTATATATAGCTTTTGAGCTTAAGGGTTCTAAGTAAAATATATAACCGTTTTCGACGTATATACACATATATATCTATAATTTTTGCCGAAGTTAAACAGGGTCCGATAACCCCTCTATTCCTAACATAGGTCCGCCTTTGCTGCCAGTACCGATATAGTCAAATCATGTGAGTTTGATGTTAAATCATTCAGGTAGTGGCAGAGCCACATGCACCAAAGGGGTGTCGACCGACACCCCTTCATCGAAAAATTATACTGTATACCTTGGTAATTTTTAAAAAAATATGTATATATGCTATATAATGACACCTCTTGACTTTTTAGTGAGTTTATTTCTTTATATTTTGACTCCCCTTAATAAAAATTTCGGTTCCGCCTCTACATTCAGGGATGTCATTTGCACGCAATAGCACCAGTGACAGGGGCAGTAACAGCACAAGGAAGAAGCAGTATGTTGGAGGACACTGGCTTTAGCTTTGTCAACTGTAAAGTCACGGGTTCTGGTGCTTTGTACCTTGGAAGAGCTTGGGGTCCCTTCTCTAGGGTTGTCTTTGCATATACTTATATGGACAATATTATCATCCCTAAAGGCTGGCATAATTGGGGTGACCCTCTTCGAGAAATGTAAGTTTCTCTATCGCCCGTTTTATTTTATCTGTTTAACTGAGTACAGAATTTACGGGAAAAAATAAAATATTTTGATGCATATATATATAGAGAGAGAGCACACTTAAAACTTATAGTCCTAGATGACATTGCTATGACTATACCAAAATGTCGTTAAGGTTAAAATGTGAACTTTAAAGCTAAACATATAACCGGAGCTAGGGGATAAATAAGAGTGTTCACCTAAATCCGCTTAGCTAGAAAATTACATTAAAGTAAAAAAATATTATGTGTATATTAAATGTTGAATCCTCTTGATGTCTTCACATATTTTTTTGTTATTGAATCCTTTGGTGAAATTGTTTACCTCCAACAATGACAAAAGAATTCCGAAATATAGAAGTATATTATTATTTCTAGAGATTCGTAAACTGCTATCTTTACTTGTTGTTTGATTGTTATATATCTTTCGTTTTTTTTTTTTTTTAATATACTGTTGTTATTACTTGTGGCCTATGCTTCTTTTCATCTATTCTCTAGTTGAGGGTCTATCGGAAATAGCTTCTCCGTCCTCCCGGAGTAGGGATAAGATTTGTGTACGCATTATCCTCCCCAGACCCCACTTGTGAGAACTCCCTAGGTTGTTGTTGTTGTATTAGTATTATTATGTCTAGAACATAACTCTCTACTCTATTCGCTTAGCGAATAAAATTTAGGCAGATTGAATCATGACATATTCATTGATCCAATCTTTTTTTTAATTCGCCCTTTTAAGACCACTCAAAAGATGGTGCAAGTCCTACCTAATAAAAAGATAGATTTAATCTTTTGATCAATCAATATGGAATGCCTTAGACTTTTTCATTAAAGAATTGAGTCTAGACTCTAGATAAGTTTCTTTTTTTCTTGCCAAAAATGCCAAAACTAACCAATCTATGGACTAAAGTGTGGCTAAGCTTATAAAGCACAAAATTAATTATAGAATTACCTTTTTGCTATAATATATATTTGGCGTGGGACGGTGACCGTCCCTTTTATCTGTTCTTTCTGTTACCTATCTACACAAATGGTATTGGAAATTTGTCATATTAACCTTTTCCAGAGTAGCACTAGCTTCATTACTCCACTATCTCCATATATCTTTGTTCATCATCCTTTTTCTCCAATCACCCTTTATATTCTAACAATAATAATACCTTAAAATGTCTACATCTGAATTATTTGTTTGTCATTATTGGTGTCGAAAACGTAATTAAGTAAATAAAAATATGATCTCTCTAATAGTTTAAGTTTTCGATATGTTAGTTACACTCTTCAACATGATATTAGAGTAAACAGAGATCCTGATTCGAGTCTCACCATCACCCATTAACAAATATAATTTTCATATGCTTGACCCATTTAAAATAATTAGGTACAAATGGTGTGTTGAACACATAATTAAGTAAATAAAAGTATGTTCTTTCTAACACATTAAGCTTTGGATGAGTTGGTCAGACACAAAGGCGGAGCTAGAGTATGGATTATGGGTTCGGCCGAAGCAATAGCTTTCGTCCAAACCCTATATTTATCTTAAGAAACTCATTGAATATGTATAAACTAGTAACTTGGAATCCAATTACTTAAAGTTTAAATTCTGTATCCGATAAGGAAGCCAATTTGGACATCTTGTGACATTCTGTCCATGTGAATGCAAGTCTATTTAATTCTAAATTATCAACTGTAATCCACCTATAATGCACAATATGAGAGGGGGGTTATACCAAAAAGCCATTACATACCAAAAAAAAAAAAAAAGTTAATTATTTTAGGATATGTTTAGCTTAATTGGGAGAGTTTAATGACCTTATGTATGCAGATATAAGATATTATATCATATTCAGACAATAAATGTTTGGTTAAACACTAATCATTGACTAATATGGACAGGTCCTCATGCAGATAATATTATTTTTTATTTAAGTCCATTTGTCTTTTAATTATTAATTATTTTTACTTTTTTGGACAGGACTGTTTTTTTTGGGCAATACAAATGTAGTGGACCAGGGGCAAGTTTTGCAGGAAGAGTTTCGTGGTGTAGAGAGCTAACTGATCAAGAAGCTAAGCCTTTTATTTCACTTAGCTTTATTGATGGCTCTGAATGGATCAATTTTTAAATAAATAAATAAATTATCTGCACTACAAATTTTTCTCTTTTTTATTTGTTTATTTTGGCTTACTTTGTAAAGTCCATGTATCTGGTAGTAGTTCAAAGAGGCATAGAGTAGAAAAATCTTTGTACGAATAATGAAAATTAAGAGTATAACATACCCCATTTTTTTTGGAAAAATAACATTGTATAGCCGCTGAAAAAATAATAGCAAAAAAATGTATAAAATTTGTATATATATACATTCGGTATATTGTATACAAAAATTATACAAATTTTATACACTTTTTCGGCTACCAAATATAAATAGATTCTACTGCGAGCTAAAAGTGATAATACCCCATTTTCTTTTGAATGGAGTATATGAAAGTACTCAAATCAGCACTTCGACCATTAAATGTTGGAAAAAAAAGGTAATAATTTTTCAGCTTGTTTTTATTTTTCATGTCTACTTTTCAGCGGTGGCGGAGCCATAATTTTCGTTAAAAGGTGTAAAAATATATAAAAGTAAATATACCAGGAAATTAAGGGGAGTCAATGTTGCGGCCAAACGCACACGCAAGTATACGCGGTCGTCAAGTAATAAAGTGACTAAAAGTCGGATGTCGAATCCACGAGGACTTGTGATTAACTATTAACTAAATTAGACTATCCTAATTATCTAAACAAGAATTAAACCTAAAAATATTTGATTCTAAACTAATTAAATAACAAAAATATAAATAATGAACTTTGAACAGAGAAAGAGCAGATTTTTTATGATATCAATGTAATGAAAACGATCTAGGGTTATGGGCTATCTAACAATCCTATTGTATTCTTAAATTGAATTGACCAACTAATTTATCTAGCTTATTGGTTGACAGGTTAATATTGCTCATAAGAATCTGTCGAGTTCTTACTCGCTTATTCAAGCTAACCTAACGCCTATATGTCTATGGAGTTAGAATCAACAAGAACGCATTTATAATTCCTGTAAATCAACCAAGCAAGGCAATTAGGTATATGTCTATCCTAACCACGAATCTGTTCCCTGATGCCCGAGTTCAAGAACTTGCTCTATTCAATCCTATATGCAATATAGAATTGCCACTTTCGAGTTCAATTCTAGATTCGTAGATAGTATTCAATTGGTGATCAAGCAATTAAATAATTAAGCGCAAGATTGAATAAATAAACCAATATGATAAATCAAGAAGGCAAAATCAATATCCGAATAACAATAGTCATGAAAGAACCACAACCCTAGAACGTGAAGTTTAGCTCCACATAGACATGGTAGCCAAACAACAAATCATACAAAGAAACATAAAAATTACTAAGTTTGGTGAGAGAAAGATGGAATTTGATGAATTCCGGTCTCCACGGCGGCTCTGTGCTTGTGTTTTTCTCTCGAAAACGTCCTCTTCTTTTTAAAATAGGTTTAAGTTGGCTTTTATATGAGTTGGGGGCGTCTTGGGGTCGAAATAACCGAGTCCCGGTCGAAATAAGACATGTTCACGTTTTTAAGCGTCCAGGGCAGCGTGGGGCGCTGGCCCTGGCGCTTAAATATTTTAGCTGCTGTAAATTGCGCCACAGCCAGCGCCCCACGCTGGCTGTGGCCCTCAAATTTCACCTTTTGCCTTTTTGTCCCGATTTCGCTCCAATTCGCGTCCTTTCGTCCCAAATTGCATCTGAATGATCCCTACACATAGAAATACCAAAATTTAACACAAATAATCATATTAAACATCTCAAATCGTCGAGACATGAGAAAAATGTGAGGCGGTATATATCAAAATATGCATACATTAAACCGATTATCAACACTCTACACTTAGACTCTTGCTCGTCCTCGAGCAATGGAACTATATTAGCACCCCCAAAATGTAGTTAGCACTATAAAATAGGACCTCACAATTAACTCAATCAGATACCCTACCTTTTGACTATGATCGATGTCGGCAATTAAGCATGAACACACAAATTTCACTATCTTTCCGTTTTTAAATAGCCCAAGTATACTCAATGTTTTTCAACCAACTCAATCAACTCAAGCAACCTCTCCACAACCACCTTACCTCAATAGACGACTCATTACCACTAAGCATCCTCAACTCACGCACTCACCCAACACAAGAAAGTGTACAATATCACCAATCCGTCATAAGATCAAGTGCCCTCACCACAAGCAAAAGAGTGAATATCAAAGTAGTCCACAAATTTAAATATGTCATTGAACATAAATTAAGGACATCACATAATTGAACAACATTCACTCACTCTCACAAAGAATTCATGTGCATCCCGTAGTCGTACCATAAGCTTGCCTGTAGTGTACATCTCTACTAATCTAAGCTAGCTAAATGTAGGATCAATTAGGACTTTAAGGTTGTAATGTAGGCTAAGGGACGAGCAAGATACATTTAGGAATAATGACTAACCCTCCTAAGCACTTTAATACACTACACTCACAATTCAAGCGCAATTGCTTCACAACCTATTCACTTGTCATACACCATAACTAACATAGCCCTTTTTTTCATCAAGCCCCTCTATAGTTTCACTAGCACGAGTGAGAATGATTAGGAGGTGTGTCTTTCTACATTATTTGAACTTTTATTTGCTCTTTCTTGCAAAACAATTCCTTTTTTTTTTCACACTCCATACATTGAAGTTCATAAGCTAGTGATCTTTATTCACAATTTTAGTGCACCTTAAGGGGCCTTCCATGGTTCCAATCGAAAGTCACTTCCCAATCTCTCACCTTACTTCTTCTAGCGACTAAGTGCCTTAGGAGGTAAAGGTTCAACAATCTCACATTAAGAACAAAGTAGGAGTACGGCTTGTAATGTGAGTGCCAATGAAACAGTCTATAGGCTCAAAAGGGATAGCAATGGGAAAATTCTATTTGTCAGTGACAAACACCTTTATGGTCAAGCAAGAAACGCCTACGTCATCTCCTAGACTAACACAACTTAATAATTTCGCATTAATTAACACACAGGGCAAGTTCTAGAGTACACAAAATAGCACAGAATATTAACAATCCTTACACACACACATGGCACTTAACTCACTCAAGACGGTTCAGTGTGACTCGCAGGTCAAGCAAGCATATCAAGTTGAGAATTTTTTAAGCAACAGAGTACTAGGTGGCATACAAGTCAATCAACTGAGAAAAATGCGTCAAAGAGTAGGCTACTTAATTTACTTGGGCATTACAATTAAAATCATATATGCATGAAGACAGAGCGCATGCCCTAACTTAACTTGCCAATACCAAACATGTCAACAGGTACCTCAGAGCAATCTTGGTTTTCTCCCTTATCCTACTCCTAAAAAAAAACTAAACTAAATTTTTCGGTTCGAGCTACACCCTTGAAAAAGAACCGATGTCGAAAGAAAAGCCATGGGATACTACCTAACTACCTAAAAAAAAGAAATCTTTTTGGTATTTTTAATCGGATTTTAATCCCTCAAGAAAATTGTCCAACAGATCCATCGTCGAGAAAAGTCCAAAAATAAAATTTTAATTTTTTCTAAATTTTTTCTGTTTTTTTTAAATCTTTTTTTAATTACTACTACTACTATACTACACCATTAATTCTACTAACTATGCTATTAAAAATAAGAAGCTAGCTAACAATAAAAAGATAAGAAACTAACAATATACTAATATAATACTATAGAAAGAATAGAGAATCTTCCACCCTACACTAAAAAGAGTGCAGCGTCCTCAATGCACAAATAAAGTAAAAATAACATGGGTGGACAAGAAACTCCCTGAAAGACCAAAGGCCGAAGCAATAGCAGCTCACGGGATATTCAAACTTTTCCCATGAATGGTCCTTTGTGCGGGTACCTCACACTAGTTCCAACCATCTGGCTCGCTTTTGCACGCTTCCAGTGACTTTTCTTCCTATGCTCATAATCCTACAAAATAAAACAACACTACAAAAATAAATAAAGCAGTAAAACTGGGTTGCCTCCCAACAAGTGCCTAATTTAATGTAGCGGTACGACGTGAACCGCTTTTTGCCTCCACCTCAAACTTATGAATTGAGCCCCTAATATGGCATCCAGTCTGCGGCTATGCTCCAGTGGTGGGGCTACAACGATAACTAGGCCAAGTAATAAATTTTTCACTATACACTTCTCGGCCTTTAGATGAGGAATGTAATTTTTGCTTTTTGGCACAATAAATTCAAGAATATAGGCACTCTCATCCTCACCCTTTGACCTCCTCATTGGCTCAGATGACTCGATTACTATCTTACTATCTAAACACAATGTGAAAAAATGATTGGAATGAGGTCTCATGCGCCCTAACTCATGAATTGTACTACTATTTACATCCCCATATATACACACACTCAAGTCTCCCAAAGTAATGTTATCTATTCCCTCATATGACTCTAGAGCATTCTTCTTAACATTGGCATCCTTAAGAAAAATATGGTCTAATGATTGGTATTCTCGTTTTAGCTCCTCAATTTGGTCTAGAATATTTTTTTCAGCTTCACACAACTTATCATTAAATTGTTGGCCATTACACGCATCAACCTTTTCATTCAAATTTGCATCCAAGTTATGCACAGCCAAGCCAAAATTATTAATTTTATGTGCAAGATCATCTCTCTCCTTAGACCAATCATTCACCAACGTTGTCAGAAGACAACGTCGTTCCGCATATTCTCTTAATCGAGAATATTCGTCCCAATACCAACCCTTACTCCCATATTCAAATTCAGATTTTTAAGAGTTCAGGTCATGACAAGCCCAAAATGGCGTGCCATATAAGTCTTCCGTCAACCAAGAGTCTTCATCAATAACCTTACCTCCATATATTTCATC